GGAGTAGGGTTCTGAGAGTTGTGGCACAGTATCAACTCAGTGGCACAGGTGGAACCTGAAACTATTGTGTCTCCAACTTTTCCTAGGTTCCTGGGTCCTGTGATACCCAGGTGGGTCCCACTTGGGCAAGCTATTTGGGCAGTAGTGGTGGTCTCACCTGTGAGTTTTCGTGTGTCAGCACTCCAGGAGGACAAGCTATTTCTGGGATGGGCAGGATTGTGGTGTGAAGAACTGTACCCCAAGGTCAGCTGTGGGGCTAAAACCATATTTTCTAATCAAATTTGTTAACCTGCTTTTTAAAAATAGAGATTGAGATCATTATGATTGATAGTTGTTGGTCAACAGTGTTTATTAATTGTGATGCGTTGGGAGCGGAAACCTAGCCGAAAGCGGATCTCATCTTTACAGCCATCTCGAGCCATATACCCTGACAAGAGACTTGTTTTCAACAGCCCACAACAGCTGAGCACACTCTTGATAATTATCTTGCTTTTCTTACATATCTTGTTTTGTTGTTTATTGCCCCCAACTGCAGTGTGCACATGGTAAAGTGTCTTCAGCTGCATTCCCCTGCTTGTGCTTATATATACCCATGATTTCCTTTCAATAAAGGTGAGACTTGAGGCGAGACTTGAGGAGAGACTAGAGGAGAGACTAGAGAAGAGAATAGAGAAGAGAATAGAGAAGAGAATAGAGAAGAGGATAGATCAGACTCCCTGTCTTGTCTCCATTCTTCACGTCCCCGTCCCCACTCTCTCTCTTGCTAGGCCCTGACCCACGGACCAGAGCTGCAGAATGGGCCATTACAGTGATGATGATATTTTCTTAGATTCTTTTGATAAACTCTTCAGGAATTGTTTATTTATTCCGTCTTCCTTCTTGGGTGTGTTTAACCTCTTCAGACTAAAAAAAATCTAGTGGTGTCCTTTGTCGAATGAGGTGACCATAAAGAAATATCTTAAATCTGTTATTTTAAGGAAAAGTTTTTTCTCTCCTTTAATTATGATTACTAGTCTTCTAGGTATAATATTATAGATTAGCATTTGTGGGCTTTAAAAACCTGTAGAACATTTATCTGAGCCATTCTTGTTTTCAAATTATCATTTGAAAAGAAAAGTGTCATTCTAAAGGGTCTGCATTAATATGTGACTTTTCCTCCTTGTCTCTTTCAATATCCTTTCTTTGTTCTATTCATTTAATGGTTTATTATGATAATTATGTAATATGAGAAGCTTCTTCTTTGGTCCTGTTTATTTGGTGCCCTGTATCCCATTTTATTGGTTATGCGAGTAACCCAGAGATTATATGGAAGGTGTTAATATATTATATGGAAGTCTCAAACATTCTACATAAGGGATGTAAATATTTGAGTTTTGGTATTTACCAGGATGTCTTTTTCCTTTGAACGTTCTCCATGCTCTCTTTAATTTTAGATTTATATCATTTTACCTCATCTACATTTTCATAACAACCTTACCTTTATTTCAGTAATTTGAAATCCAAGTTTATAATTTTCTTTCTAGTGTATTGTTTCAAATGTACTTTCCTGCTTCTAAATCTTCACTCCACCCAATGACAAAATTATATATACATATATAATATATATGTATATGTATAAAACCTCCAATGACGATACAGGCAGTGAATTTAAAAGAGAGCAAGGAGGAATATAGGGGAGGATTTGGAGGCAGGAAAAGAAAGGGGAAAGATATATAAAAAAATTAATGAAATGAATAATGTGATGACTAATTTTCTAGTATCATCTCTCATGTCCAGAGAAAACACATCTATTTACTTAAACTTCATTGACTTTGAAGAGTGTATCCAGTTGAGAGGACTCAGTAAAACAGATTGTTTTTTCTCAGCTGGCTATGCCTTATCCACTCACTCAAAGACATTAAAGAAAAGGACTGATTTTCCTCTACTGAGGAAGAAATATTGCCTGCATACCTTTGGTCTGGGATAGTAGCTTTTTCCTACCTCTGACCTTGGACCTCTGTATTTTCCTTCATGTTTCTCAGCTTGAGAACCTTCAGACTGCAACTAAATAGACCCTCTTGCTTCTCAATATTCTGACTTGTCTAGACTATGCCCTTAGTTTTTAGTGGCATCAATTCTTATGATAAAACTCCAGTAAATAAATGCATGTTATTGCTTTTATGAAGTGTGAACTCCTAAATTCATTCAAATTATCAAGGAAATTGAAGTTAATTTCAGCTGATTATTATCTGGTATTATCCCCCCTGAAGTAAATGGTTGTCATTTTGGCCAAATAATACATTTCATCATTAAACACATTTCAATATTTTTCTCACACTGATTCTGTTATAATGGAATATATATATATATATATATATATATATATATATATATATCTTCATTTACGGATGTAGAATTTGCCTTCTCATTTTTTTTTCATTTTTTAAATAATTTTATTGGATATTTTATGTATTTAGATTTTAATTGTTATCCCCTTTCCCAGTTTTTCTGGTGCTCCCCTTCCCACCCATCCACTCCTACCTCACTTCCCTAGCATTCCCCTGTGGGGAAAATTATAGAGCCCGACACAGCAGTGGGGCCCGGAGGGGCTCCCATGCTGTTGCAGGTCCCACATTCGGGAGAAATCTTATGGTTCCAGCGGCCTGGAGGCTTTGGCGGTGACAGGCCCCAATAGCACGAGGAAGTCCTTGGTTCCAAAAAGGTTTATTTTCATGGTGGTGATAGATGGATCTAGGCGTACCCCCAAAACTCAAGGCAGTCCTAAGCTATATAGAGAGGGAGAAAGGGGGAGGATTGGGGGAGGATCCGGGGGAGGCATGTTTAATTTGCTCTGCCCTCTGGCCTTCATTAGTATGTAAATCCCTAGGGCCTGAGACCTATAGCCTGGCCTATGTGACTGAACAATATAATTCTATGGAGACCATGACTGCTTTTCAGGATCCTGGGTTCTGGAGGGCGCCAAACTCCTGCCAGTTCTCACACAGAATCCCACCCAGATTCTGCAGAGTCTCGGGGTTCTAGGCACCTGCTCCATCATGACCCAGCATACCCTTACGCAGTCCCACATTCCCCTATACTGAAGAATCGAGCCTTCACGGGACCAAGGGATTCTTCTCCTATTGACACCTGATGATGCCATTTTCTGTTACATACATGGCTGGAGTTTAGGGTCCCTCCATGTGTACTCTTTAGTTGGTGGTTTAGTCCCTGGGAGCTCTGGGGGGCATGGGGTCTGGTTGGTTGATATTATTGTTCTTCCTATGTGGTTGCAAATCCCTTTAGCTCCTTCAGTCCTTTCTCTAACTCCTCCATTGGGGTCCATATGCTCAGTCCAATGGTTGACTTTGAGCATCTGCCTCTGTATTTGTCAGACTCTCAGGAGACAACTATATCAGGCTCTTGTCAGTAAGCGCTTCTTGGCATCCACAATAGTGTCTGGATTTTGTGTCTGTATATGGGATGGATACCTAGGTGGGGCAGTCTCTGGATGGCCTTTCCTTCAGTCTATGTCCCACTCTTTGTCCCAGGATTTCCTTTAGATAGGAGCCATTCTGGGTTAAAAATTTAGAAATGAGTGGGTGACCCCTTCTCCCACTGGGGGCCTTGCTTAACTTCTGGATGTAGTCTCTACAGGTTCTCCTTCCCCATTGTTGGGCATTTTAGCTAATCTCATTCCTGTTGGGTCCTGGGAGCCTCTTGCTTTCCTGGTATCTGGGAGATGCTGGTGACTACCCCCAGTTCTCCATCCTCCATTGCTATATACCTCTGTTCAAATTCCTGACCTTCTGTATATCATCCCTTTCTCCTCCCATACCTGATCCTGCCCCCCCTTCCCTCTCTCTCTCCTCTCTTCCTCCAAAATACCTTTCACCCTTGCCTTCTCATTTAAACATCTTTAGAAATTCTTTCTTTTATAGACTGCCTTAATCACCGGACTTTTTATACATTATCATCTGCTGTTGTTATAACTTCTTTGAACAAGTGGGAAGGAAACTTATTTGAATTAGTTATAAAAGTACCAGTGACTATACAGAGTTTTGTATGTTTGATGTAATATTACATGTGAGAAAGAGACTATTATTTGTGCTTTACACATGAAGAATCTAAGATTTACATATAATAAGGATGTTTCCTTAGAGCAAACAGAGAGTAACAAAGCCAATACTCAAACACAGTTTACTTAATTCAGTCTTTCTAAATGTTGCTATTATTTGTAGTAGGTTTTTTATAATTGTTGGTTTCTTGAGCTTTAGAAGACAGGATTAATTTTCACTCATTAAATTTAAAACCTCTAATCATTGAAGGAATACTGTTATATTATGACTGATTATTTGAACTGCAAGAACCAGGAGATTAATGGAAATTCTTGTTTGTTTCTTGAGAAAGTACTATTAGTCTGTGGCCAAGTGGTTCTGAAAATTTTATTTTATTTAAAAACATTTATTTATTTAGATTTTATTTACTTGTCTATTTGTTTGTTTAGAACTGGGTTCTTTAATATTGTGCAAATACTCTACCATCAAGAATAAATCATAGAATTTACATGCTAGGCACTGCCCTAAGAACTGGCCTTTGTCTAGTCATACTGCTTTTTGAAAATACCTGATATTTATATTTATACTTATTTATAAAAAGTTAATATTTATTTCTCATATTTATCAAAGCTGAATGTCCAAGATAAAGTCACCAAGGGATTCAATATCTTATGTTCACCTTTTTGTTGCTTCTTTTCATGGTAAACCAGAGGAATTCCACATCTTCCAACTTCAGGACAAAAGTAATAACATTCCCTTTAATATTTATATAAAGTCAGTAATATTATTTGCTACAACAAGTCTACACCTTAATCACATCCTAAGCCCATAGTTGAAGCACTTAACAAAGGAAACACAGCATCTTTAATGTTGAGCATTATCATTATTTTCATTGCAGAGATGTGGTACACAGCCTCAGAAACATGAAATGACCTTCCTAAGCAAACGAAATAAGGAAGGCCAGACTCTTTCCCCAGAGGTGTTGCAGGTATAGCTGTTGGGTCACCTGTGTGACTGTATGTGACAGAGAAGAGAAAGGCTATGTATATGTTAAGTGTTCTGACTTATGATCATCTGATTAGTAGCTTAACATTCCTTGAAAACAGCTAACCTGAGATGACAATTAGTCTGGTGTCATTTAGGCCTGGGCAAGCTCCCAGAGCAGGGAGCAAGCCAGTGACTAGGCAAACCTCTACCTGGGTCTGCAGGCCCTGTGTGGGTGTGAGCACAAGACAGATGATCCTCACAGGGGTCACTCAGGTAGTCCCAGGCAAGGAGCAAGCACCCTGGTGCTATGGGGCTTGGACAGGGAGATAGCTTGATACCACCACCAGTCTGGTGCCCTGCAGGCCTGGTTGGGGAGGTGGAGGGGGCAGACTATGCTAGAGCACACTTCCAGGTGCCATAATGCATAAGTTTGCCATTGCCATTCTGAGTCCATTTCGAAGACAACTCCAGACTCTCAGAGACTAGGGTACCACTAAGAGGAGCAAGGAAATGATGGAAAAATGGAAGAGCCAGAGAGACAGAAGTATGATGGCATGATGATGAGAGATAGAAAGGAGACTTGAGGGTAGTGAGAAACAAACGGGTGTGTGTAGCCAGTGATGCCATGTGGGACCACAGCAGCACAGTAGAGCTAGCTCTGGACATGGGAGGTTCAGCTGAGACAGCCCTGAGGACATGAGCACAGGAGAGCACAGAAAGAGGAGAGATAAGAAACATGTGAGAGAATGTAAAGCTAAAGATGGAAGCATCACTCTGGGATCAATGACCAGTGAGTAGAGTTCTAGGACTCTTCTCTCATCTCTCCATAAGGAACATTCACCATCACCTTCAGACACCATTGTTTAAGTAAAGTATCCACACGATTTAGATCCAGGTCTAGCTACTATAAAAAATCAATATCACAGAAGTTTAGCAACTTAAATTCAAGTGCTCAGCAGCACAGTATGGGATCTATAAAAAGAGACAGCAGTTTCTTCATGGAATGCTCATCAACAGTTATGATAGTCTCTTCTTCCTCTAGACACAGTTGAGAACATTTTACTGGAAAGTTCATGATAAGTTGTATTGTTTCAGGTAAACATATGTAGCTTATAATACTTCAAATATCCTAAACCAAATATCAATATTTCAAGAGGAACTAGAGCAAAGTTATGTCTTTGATGTGTTTATCACATGGGATACAACTGGAACAATCCTTTTGATGTGACATTCCTTCCAATCATACTAAATTCAAAGAAAAGGAGCACTGTCACATTTGACATAAATAAATTAATCTAAGTAAGACATGAGTCTCCCAGATTTGCATATTCTTCATTAACTTAAAATCACTAACTACAGAGATCATATGGCTAGACATCATGTATGTTAGCCTCCTTGTGCTATAGGCAACCCTTGGGACACATGAGTTACAGTTGCCTCAGTTGTATTTCATACTAGCAAGATAGTTTATCTGTTCTTCATTTGGGCCTGCAGATGCCTGGCTGGTGAGTTAGGTGGGATAAAAGTGATTGACATCGGTCTTCATATTGTGCCTTCTCTTTTGCTTCCTTATCCTTTGAGTCATTGGTAAAATGTCTTTTTCAGAACTATGTTAACAGGGAAAAATCAGCTCAGATATGCCAAATCTCTTTTCAGTTTGAGTTTGGAGAAATTACCAGCCACATCATAAGAAATACCAGAACACAAAAGGAGGAAAAAAGAGGTACCCCTAAATTACCTAGAAGATCTCTGCTATTTCCCATGAATTATCTGAATAACCTTCCTATTTTCCCCTCATTTCCACATTGCATCTATGAGTCCTCAATTCCCTAGAGGTAAGTTGGTGAATGTAAGCAACATATCAGTTCTTTATTCTATGGTACTCACTGAGTCTTTCTTTTTCTTTCAAATTTGCCTCTTGAGAATTGTCTTCTCTTGATTGGGATTGAGTAATAGCTTATTTAAATTCAAGAAATGTCACTATAAAATCGAGTATAATACAAAGTATTTATTTAGGTGTAGGTTATGAGTTCAGAAAATTTTATCTCAAGGTTAGTAATTTACTAAGAATTATTGCCCAGGGAACATTTGTTGATATTTTAATGGTTTTTATTTCGGATTCTATGAAGAGTCGAGAGAAAACAATGATTCACAATGTTTTGAATTTTTTTCAGTATCCCTAGCTAAAAATACAAATATACTTTTAAATACAAAATAAAAACCAAATCAAGTATTTGGATGTTTTCTTTCTAAAGTTCCTTAGGAAACCATGGGAGTATTTGCAGAAGATCCACTGCCAGGTTTGGGAAGACAGACATTGTACAACTGTGGTCTAAATGCTTTTATGAATACAATGCATTTTTGGCTTGCTTGTTGGAGGTGCCATACACAGAAACCCTTTTTGCTAAAGGCTAGAGGGGCAAATTAATGCCCTCATGCTTATTGCAGAAGACACCATCTAACACTTGTATTCGCCTTGCCTTCCATGTGGCTTCAGCCTTTCAACTCGGTCTTTGGAGATCTTTCTTTTTGCTTATTTTAAGCTTTTTTCTTCATTTTGTTTTAACATGAAATTCCTTGGCATAATGAATGCTAAGAATAAAAACCATGGATTTTACCCCCAAAGCTAAACTTTCCCTGAACTACCCCCTCCCACATTTTTTTAAACATCACCAGTTGCATTCACCCTTATTTGAATAGAAATTTCTTACCCCCTACACAGCCCCTGGCAGTGAATACCTCTGCCTACCTCAGCTTTTGAGACTCACATTCATTTCAAATCAGTCTTTCGGAAAAAATAAACATAGACTCTTAACTACTGAGACAGCCGAGGGGCTCCAAAATACTTATTCAAGTGCTATCTATTCTTCATCTGGCTTCCATTATAGTCTAAGTACCCCGGGTAAGTGAGCAAAGGTAAAGACTAGTGAGAAGTGCAAGGATTGATGAAGGTTCCCAGGATGAAGGAAGGATTGTCATGCTTTCCTTGTCCTTTAGAGCTCAAGCTGCCTGCACAGGCATCAATATGCTGCCGGCAAACCCCTCCACATTGCCTTACTCTTGCCCGGTCTTTATAATTCTACTTTCTTGAGTATTAATTAGCAAACGAGCCAATCCAAAACCACTTAAATGTTGGCTATTTACAAACTCTTTCCTGTTTTGGAAAGAAAAGGGGTCGATTAAATTACTTAAAATTGTGTGGCACTGCCAACATAGTAGGCTCATAATTTCTACTCAGTAAACAAAAGAAGAAAATGGTTTCTATATCCCCTTCCCCAGATGCATCCCTTGCTTCATACTTTCTCTCTGCTTTGTCTGTAATTATTAAAAAGGAAAGAATTCATGGAAAATTATTATTGCAGAGCCCTGACTATTGCGTTAATTCTCCCCTTCCCCCCCAGCCCTTTTGCTGGGCAGGAATGTTGGACTTTACTCAGGAGCTGCTTAGTGAGCTTGTGGGTGGATGGGATTAGTTTAATCTCCTCTCACAAGCCTTTTAGAAAGCTGGGAGAGGTGGGGTGGACAAGGAGCATTGGTAGAGTGGAGGAGGGCAAGGACTAGGGAAGAAAGGTTACCCATGTACAATGCCAATAGAACTAAATTTGAATGGTATGAAGGGAGCACAGGAAAGGAGATGCCAGGCACGATGGTGAATAAAGGGTATTGAATTGGGATGGGCGGTGATGATTGCTTCATGATTTCATTGTGCTTGGAGTGTCTCCAAGCTGTGGGAGTGGTACATAAATGAAGGAAAGCAGAGACATTATTAGCATTCATCAGAAAAGGACAGTAGGTAAAATAAACATTAATAAAAGCAATGCCTGAACAGGAAAGACACAGAGGAATGGGCAGCTTGTTCTGTATTTTACAATAGACATTGCTCTTGGTGAACATGGATGTTCTCATTGGTGATGACTGTAGGATTTCAGTAAGAGAATTTCTGACTGTTCATTCACCCTCCACCAATTTTTTGGGGTACTTGTATTGTAATGGATTAAATTAATTTTATAACACAATGTTTATGAAACTGTATCTTTCATGATTCCATCAACTAAGAGAACTTCATGGAGTTGTCTTTGATTTATCTAGACATACATAAGCCAAATTTGGTTGATATATAAAACCAATACATTCACTACTATATTATATTTAAAGTACAGCGTATGCTCCTTCCTATGTCAAATAATGATAATGGATCCTCAAAAGTTAGTAATAAACAGATTAGCCTTCTCCTTATACTTTTATGGAATTTGTGGGTAATTAAAGTATTATCCCTTGTGTTTCTTAATTTGAATCTCAATAAGACAATGTACAGCTATGTGCCACTCAATGACAGGGATATGTTCCATTAGATGTGTTGATGGGTATTTAATTGTTGCGTGGAACATCATAGCATGTGTTTGCTACCCAACTGGCAATCTATAGGCATCACTTTAAAAATATAATTAAAAAATAATTTAGTGGTCACTTTAGTGAGATCAAATAAACAAGAAAGGCAAACTAATTTAGTGGACCTTTTATGTAATCAAGGGGTATGATAAACACAACATGCATTAGCCTGTAGTCGATGTCCTGTGATTTTAAAGTGAATTTTGTAAGTAGAAGGAACTTGTTAAACACAATATGGCTCATAGAACATATACACAATGGAGTTTCCTTCATATGTAAATAAAAATGTTAGGAAATGGTCAGAACTGTAAACCCAGGCTCAGAAAGACAAATATCACATATTCTTTCTTTCATGAAGATCCCAACTTCTAATTTTTACATATGTATGTTTATGTGGACCAGTAATTTGAGATATCAAATTACTTATAATGATAATGAGCTATTAAGCTAATGATATTTACATATATATATATACATATATATATTATATATATAAAATAGATTCATTATGCCTTACTATTTGCCATTTTTAAAAAGTTCAAATTAGCTTACAAAGTTATGGATGTCCTCTGACACTCATGTACTTAGTCCAATTCATCCTGCCTTAGTTTCTGACTTCCCCCATCTCCCTGCTCCTCATTCTCATTCAAATCCCTCAGGCTGTGATATTTTTCCCTTCAACGTCTGTACCACAAATTTTATCACTTTTATACTCCTA